TGTGTGTGTGTCTGTGTGTGTGTGTGTGTGTCTGTGTGTGTCTGTGTGTGTGTGTGTGTATGTGTGTGTGTGTCTGTGTCTGTGTGTGTGTGTGTGTGTCTGTGTGTGTCTCTGTGTGTGGGTGTGTGTGTGTCTGTGTGTGTGTGTCTCTGTGTGTGTGTGTGTGTCTGTGTGTCTGTGTGTGTGTGTGTGTCCCTGTGTGTGTCTCTGTGTGTGTGCTCTGTCTGTGTCTCTGTCTGTGTCTCTGTCTGTGTCTCTGTCTGTGTCTCTGTCTGTGTCTCTCTGTCTCTCTGTGTCTCTGTGTCTCCGTGTCTCCGTGTCTCCGTGTCTCCGTGTCTCCGTGTCTCTGTGTCTCCGTGTCTCTGTGTCTCTGTGTCTCTGTGTGTCTGTGTCTGTTTGTCTGTCTGTCTCTGTCTCGGACAGAAACATATTGCTCCCGCTGTTTCCATGGTCAAACTAGTAGCATTCCAGACTGATCATCAGGAGAGAGATTCTGAAAGTGTACTGAAACGCCTTTCCTACTATGGCAGCCATCACCAGCGGCGCCTGTTCCAAGCCCAACACCGTCACTGACACTGCTAGCCTTCCAGTAGTGGACGGCGCCCTGCGCCCAACTCCGGTGTCTTCTGCCCTGTCCCGGGTTGCCCGTGCTCTCCGCCTCCGCCAGCTCATCTCACCATTGCGCAGGCGGGCAACGCCGGATGCCTACCTTGCCCAATCCCTGGACAAGTGCAGGGCTGGGCACAACTCCGTGTCCTCCGCCACGTGCCAAAAACTGCACCCAGTGCCTTGCCCGAGCCTTCGCCACCATCCTTGCCAAGCTGCGCACGAAACAGCCTAATACCCCGGAGTTATACCGTCGTGGCAGCGCCGCATGCGCCGCCTCCCCAGATCCCTCGTCCCCACATGTACGTACCATTGCTGTTGTCAACCGTTGGTCCAAAGAGAGTTGTTCTCTTAGTTTTGTTTGTTCCTTTGCAGTGCCTCGGCTACTAGTCGCTTTCTCACATGGCCGCACCTCTGGTTACTCTCCTGACTTGTGGGCTTCGCTAGAGTGCCACCCTGGCCAGTAGCATTATGAAGGGATTGATGGTTCTTATCATCGAACGTACCCTTGCATAAGCAGTGTTGGAGGTGCTTCCTGCCAGAGCACCGAGTTGTTTGCGACACGGAAGTCAACTGGTACCATCCCTTCCTCATTTGGGAGGACCACACCAACCGCATTTGTGCGAGGCACTGGTAAAGCTGATGTCCCAAGGGAAGTCGGTGATGCAAGGGACCAAGGTTGAGGTCATTCAGTGTCAAGCGCCACTATTCCTGTGCCAACCTTGCGATTGTGTGCAGCGTTTAGCTTGAGACTTGCTGCACGGAAGGCATAGGCTCACGCAAAGGTACCCTTGAACCGGGTTTCTCCCAGCAATCCTTGCTTTTGAGGCTTTTTTTTGCTGGATTGGGGAAATTGTCTTCACTGCAGGTTCCGTGTTTTGGGTTTAGATTTCCTTCAGAAGCCTATGGCAACAGCTTCACTTAGGACCCATTATTAATTGCAGAACCAGGCTTCTTGAGGATGCTACTAGGTCTTCCGTCTCGTGAACCACTTTTGCCACATCCAGAAGTGTACGTTCCTACCTTGGTTCTCACGCACAAGAACTTCTCAGAGAAGTGTCCCGCTAGATTTCCCCAGATATGTTTAGACAAGAACACCAGCAACTTCTGCTAGGCGCATGGACGGCTTTCACGGCTGGACTGGCAACCTCCAGTTTCTGGGATGCTCATGTGCTGAGCGCTTTTCACTAAGACATAACAAAACACAACTTGCCTTCTCCACAGGCTGGGGTTAGGAGTTTCTTTAGGGCTTCTTTTTTTTTGCAACTGCTTACGGAACTGCTTACGCATCTGCAGGCCTTTTTTGTTTGGAGAGTTTTTAGTTGAGCTGCGCTGGCTTAAGGTTGGAATGTCAGAAGAAGGAGAAGCGTTGGACAAGGACGACTGTGACCATCGGCGCCAGCGGTGGGAACGAGAAGTGCGTGGATGTTCCGAATCAGGAGAAGATTCAATGCGCCCATGGCTCTACTTGGAGACTGAACCTGAACTCCCTCAACCACATTAAACCCTAAAGGTGGCAGAGGCCTGGGATTGTGGGGTGTCAGAGGTGGAGTTTACTTGAGCATTGAGGTGACTACTTGGCGGGCAATCCGGAGTATCGCCTTTCACACTCACATTGGGGCGACTCCTTCAATATCGAGCATAAGGACGAGAGCTGGATTTGCTGCCCTTCTTTTTACGTCCCGTCATGTCATACAGCTTGCAGGGCGACAAGTGTGGGCTGTGTGCATCAAAGAGAAAGAGAGGGAGAAAAAAAAAAGTTTTCAGAAACTCCTCTCCCAGTGAAGGACAACAAGATCTGCGCGCGTCGGACGGACAGTCATGCCGGTTGGGGTCTGCACCTACGCTTGAAACCTGTATGGCCTTTCAAGCCTGATGCAAAAGGGTCCCCAGAGTCTTCGGGCATAAGAACCTTTGGGACTTTGGGATTTAGGGCCTGCTTCGGGTTCAGGGTGGAAGGTTTTTTTTCGTTAGCGTAGGATCAGCAATCAATCACGTAGACCGAGGCACTTGACCATCCATTGCAAGGAGTATTCCTTCAACATTCGGAAGGTGCAGGAAGCGGCTAAAAAGGTGGCGAAGGCGACCGTCAAGAAAGTCAAGAATGCAACTCGGCTCGCTTTTCAGTCTTTTCGCTTGCTGCCTGCAAACTGCGGCTGATAGGCTCTGATAGGCTTGTATCACAAGCATGAGAAACAATGCCCTTGGTTATGCATTTGGCCTTGTAAGCGCTGACGTCCCAACCATCTCCTTCTATATACATATGTAAGGCCGTAAGACTTGTATTGCATTTCCTGACCTATCTGAACCACAGCAACATTTATCTTTAGATCCCACGTTTGTGACGCACGCCCTCTTACTGAGATCCTGAAGAGATTCAAGTTCCGCTGATCTGGAGCTGTACCGAGCATGTACCGAGCATGTACCTTCTCTGCGGTCTGCAACAGCTCTCTGAGATCTCTGACTCCGGAGCCGTGCTTTCCAAGTCAGAAGAATAAAAAGGTGCCGTACGCCTGGGTACCTCCATGGTTGCTAGGCCCCTAGGCCATGTCTGTGTTCACGCTGCCCTCCAGACGCAGGAGTTTTTCGAGCAAGCGATCAGACTTGAAAACCAAGCAAACAGAGATCCAGTATGTCCTAAGGCAAAACAAACCACCATTTCAATGCGTATCTGTGATCAGGGTGCCACACAACGTTTTTCTCTCATGATGGAGGGGGCGGGGGGAGGGGGAGGGGGGGAGGGGAGCGGGGGGAAGGGGAAGGGGGGGAGGGGAGGGGGGAAGATGCAATCGTGAGCAAGCAGAGCATCCCCTCTTTACGCTCATGGGGTGCACCTCCTCTCCCGGAGTTCGGGCATCACAGGCAAAACCCCTCAGAGTGAATATGTAACACACACGCACACACGCACACGCACACACACACACACACACACACACACACACACACACACACACACACACACACACACACACACATTTGGGGGGCTGCGACTTCTCTCTCTTTTCAGACTTTTCGAGGTGGGAGGCATCAGTTCGTTGCAGTTGCAAAAGAGTCCTCACACAGTAATGCAACGAGGCAGGTTCGCAAGGCAGCTGCACCAAAAGCTGGCATGAGAGTGCTTAGCCACTTATCCACATGTTTTCTAGGCATTCTAAGCTAGGCCACGACAAGTGCAAACGTCCTGTCGTCAGGCGAGATGTCGGAGACCACATCAGGCCTTAGAGAAGGATGGGAAAAAGCAGCGCGTAACACAGAAGCGCGCAGGCTCAGAAACTCAAAGAAGGAGAGGCTGCATGGCTGCGTGGCACACAAGCTCCAAAGGCCTGGCAAACAGGCGGAAAACATCTCGAAGGACAGAACCGGCAGGTGGAGGCGGAGGCAGAAGAATCAGAGAATCAGAACCGTTGGCGCAGTGCAGTAGCACTTCTTGGAGGAGGCCGAGGGGACTCATCCTCGCGTCTGTTGAGGGAGCAGAACGCACCGGCCCGCATCCTGTTTCGGGGTGGAATGCTCAGGAAAACAAAGCCACTACCAACAGTGTTCAACGAACGGTTTTTTTGGGCATCAGACTCCGAACGGCATCAGCTGCCGCGGTCGTCAGTTCAGGTCAAGCAAATAGGCGCACATGAAGTGGGCATGTACAGGAACACAAGCGTCCACGTCTCTGCATTGCAAACAGTTTTGTAAATGATCCAAGCCGTCGGTTGGCAACGGCCAATTCTGCTCGAAGCATGGAGCACAGCACCACCTGCAAACAAGGCGAAACAAGGCTCAGCCCTGCAGGCAGCCTTATCATACCTATTGAGTGTGACTGGAGTTTTTGCCCACGCCCCTGGCACTGAGCTCCGCTTTGGAGTGGGCCTCCTCACGGAAATTGGTGGGCAAAGAACAGACCACTTGCTAGACGTGGGGCTTTCCAGGAGGTTGCTTGACTTGTTACGAGAGCAATTCGGACACATCGGACACAGCTCAGTGCCTCTATCGCGCAGGGGTGTCCATGCTTGCAGCAGCAGCGGCATTGCTCGCAGCTAATACGTGGCATCTTGCTGACCGCGCCTGCTTCGTAGAGAATCTCGGCTCGAGCGAGCTGCTGTCCAAGACAAACTTCGCGTTCTTTTGCCTTTGTGGGCGGGCAGACGACATGCTAAGCCCGCAGATGAGCTTTCGAGACCTCAGCGTCATCAAAGCCGTAAAGGCGCGAAGAGAGCCTGTTCGGACAGCGTCGACGAACAAGGAGCACCTGAAGGAGACGTTGGAAGCCTTGAAGACCCCCCGCTACCAGGGCAGCGTGACGAAGCCGTGGCTGGACGAGGATGGAAACATTATTTGGTCCACAACCAGGTGCCAAGGGTTCACTGTAAAAAGGGGGAGAGAGAGAGAGAGACAGAGAAAGAGAAAGAGAGAAAGAGAGAACGAGAGAATCAAAAAAAAAGAGAGAGAGAGAGAGAGACTTGTAGACACGTGTTCGCTCAGGGCACTGCTGCAGGTTGAATGAGAGTGATGTGCTTCCCTGTTCGTGCAGGCTCCGCACAGCCAACATCGTATATAGTCAAACCTTCGAGATGGTCATGGGCATTGTCATTCTTATCAACGTGGCTACCATCATCTATGAAGCAAACCTCGATGCCTCCTGCTATCCAGAGTTCGTCGAGAACTACAGCGCATGCCCCTGGAGGAGTGGAAACATAGGATGGCTCAGTGCTTTGAATGCTGCCCTTCTGGTGATTTATTCCCTCGAATGCTTTGCACGGCTGTATGTTGAGCGTACACAGTTTCTGTGCAACCGGTGGAACATGTTGGACTTTACAACCGTACTCCTTGGATGGACGAGTGTTTTGTTGGCAGCAACTACGGATTCGGCCATCAACTTGGGCTTGTTCAGGCTCTTGCGCCTAGTTCGCGTGCTCAGGGCCATCCGCATCTTGATTGCTATTCCTGAGTTCTACTTGCTGGTCACTGGCCTCTGGTCTGCGATAAAGGCCATTTTCTTCGGATCAGCGATGCTGCTGTTAGTCATCGTCTTTTGGGCCGTCGTGTCTGTGGAAATGTTCCATCCTGTGCTAAGCGTCATCTCGTCGAGCACATGCCGAAGATGCCAGAAGGGCTTCAGCAACGTATTTCAAGCAGCCGTCACGCTGTTCCAGCAGACGCTGGGTCTCATGAGCAATGTCTTTTTGTGCTTTTACCAGCATTGCTTGCGTGTAGTTTCAGGTGTCTGTTTAGAACGGCTCGCTAGTGCATGGACTACTGTCGCTGCTCTTGAAGCAAGCAGGCCGTCTGTGCACGGACTTTCATGCCGACCAAACTTGGCAATAGTTGGTGTTTAACGGGCCGCAGCCAGGATCGTTGCAGGCGACGGATGGGGGGAAGTTTCTCAGCCGCTGCTTGACACTTGGTGCAAATTGGACAAGGATGCATCGAGCATAAACCGCTGTCGTGCAAGCATTCAGGCCGCCTTCAACATGGTCGTACATGTTTCTTAGTCTCATGTTGCAGCGAAAGCGCCGTTTCAGAAACCATTCCTGAAGGAGTTGTTTACGAGGCACAATCTTATGAAAATACCCTTCAGAATTGGAGGATACCGTCAAAGTTCTTAAAACTATTTCTCTAACATGAGAGAGCAGGGCCCTGCAAAATTGAAAGGTGGAGCCAGTTTCTTAAACGTCATTAAGTATGAGAAATCTCGAGGCTCCCGGGCTCCAAAAGCGCATGCACACCTGGATCAGCTCAGCGGAATCGTCAGAATCTGCATGCCGAACTCTCAACCGGACCGCCTTTGTGTCAGTCACGCAGCGACGCAGCGTCCGGCCGCAATGTTACCCCCACACAGGGAGCTTCATTGTCCCGAGCTGCGGGATGAGCCCTTGGCCCCCGTGGGAAGTATGTTGTATAAATGCACCACTACGGTTGTCACGCGGTATGCTGTGGAGTGTGGGAGACAGGTGCTGCGCGCCCACACAAGAAGAAAGTGAGGCTTTCCATTTCTTCACCTTGAGGCCAAGCTGAGCTTTCTTTTCTTTGGGCAGGCCATGAACCCTCCAAAAACCTCCCCGAACCTCCTTCATCGTTCTCACCTTTAGTATCGTATACTCTTGCTCTGCGCTTGGGTCTTATGACGATTCCGATTATAGTTGCCGCTGATACCGCTACTCATGGCTATTTGCGATTGCCATTGGTCTTCTTCCTCTTTTGGGGTGTACTTCATCTTGGCAATCTTGCTGTTCTCAATGTGTTCTTAATACTTCGAGGGCAAGTATTGTTTCTGCTACTCACCATTATGTCTCGTTTCCATGTCCATTCCGGAATTCCGGGCACCACTATCGTCATTGCTTGAACTACTGTCAGTAAGCTTCTTAGCATTCTCACTAGTACTTGACATCATCACGTTTGGTTGCTGCTGCTGTTGTCATCTGCCATTGGTCAGTACGAACTTTGTTTCGATGTTTGAGTTTTTTTGTTAAGATTACCAACATATCGCCTGGCAACCCAAAGCGGCCTGGGCAACCCAAAGAGCAAAAGGACAGGGGAAGTGCGCAAGAGCACAAATCCGGGTCATGTGGTGGGGGAGAAGTTGAGCCCTGTTAGCAGCTAGCACGCTCACTGGCGTCAGAACTGCGTAAATACATCACTTGGCTTGTGGAACGGAGTGGGCCGTGATAGGGATATGAACTGTTTCATTCTTCATGAAGCTTTGAGGCCAGAAAGGGAAAAGGCAAAGTGCCTCACCCCAGGGGGCCAAGAGTGCCACACACCGTTTCCATACGCAAACTCTTGTGTTTCGATGTCGATTGTTTTGCACATAGCTGGGGTTTTGGGCATCAACCCGAGGATGCCAATCCGTGGATGGCAATTGCCTTGTTCCTCATCGTCGTGACAGTCTCCCTGGGGGTCCTGAACTTGATCTTGGCTGCGGCTGGGCTGACACGAGTTGTTTGCATCGCTTTGCCTCTCTTAAGTTGCTTGTGAAAGGTCATCGTTGAAAGCGCAGCCGAAGCGAGGGAGAACGACCACGAGCAGAAGATAAAGCAAAAGGACGCCGAGCGCAACAAGAACATGGTGGATCTCGCAATTCTTTGTGCGGACCTGGACACCGACGAAAGTGGCACAGTTTCCCTTGAAGAGATGCGGCACGGCTACGACAGTGTTGCAGATTTCAAGCGGCTCATGGACCACATGGACATTAAAAGGGACGAGATGGAGTTGATTTTCAACGTGTTGGATGCGGATGGCAGTGGAAACGTTTCCTACCTCGAGTTCTGCAAGAATCTCGGGAGCTTCTTTAAGCGGGATCCCGTCATTATGCATTCTCTGGTCCAGTGCTCCGTCATGGACTTGAAGAAGGTGGTGAGGGAAGAAATGGCCGCTTGGCACAAGGATTGGCGGTTGTAGTGGTACAATATGCAATCACAGTCAAGAGGCTGCACCAGTCCAAGAGGGTTTGAGGGGTTTGCGACAACGGACTTTGTATGTCAGTACTATAAAGTACTATACAATGGTTAGCGGAGCTGCACGCGTTTCGGTCCTGAGGTCCAAGGTTGTCTTCAGATTGTTCCCAGGAATTGAATGGCTCATGCGCTGCTGCGGCTGCGAATGTGTCACTACTTCCGCTTAAATAGGAAACAATATCACGTCACGATGACCAGCATGTTTACCCGTGTGCAGGTTAAGCAGCTTCTCTGTTTATAGCCAACATCCTCAGTGAAGGCATTTCCCTTCCTTTGGACGGGCTGGGATTTCCCCCCTTGGTTTGCAAGTTAAGTATGACATACCCTTACACAAACATGCTACACCTTTGCTCCTGCAGTTGGCCATTTCGCATATGGACTCCCTTGAAGTGAGGCTGCCATCATGAAGCGTCAGCACGCAGAGGTGATGCAGGAGCCTCTGCTCCAGCGCGACCACTGCTTCGAGCTGCTGCACTTGTTGTTGCGATGGAACCGATTAGTGCTGGTAGTGCCAGCACTACTTCTTACCACTTACACTGTGACCGTGATTGCTTCATTCCCACAAGTGCTGCTATAGGCTGCAACAGCTCCACTGTGCTAGCCTTGGTACTCCTACCACGGGTCAGGAGCTACGGAGGATGACCTACCGTCTTCCCCTCCAAGGTGGGGGTCGGAGATCGGCTAGTCCAACACCGTAGCATTTTGACATACATGCTGCCATGTGGTCTGGCCTAGCTCTGTACCCTCTGGAACAATTGCAAACACTTCTCAGTCTCCTCGTTCTATCACATCTGCACTGGAGGCTTCTCGGCCCCCTCGGCCCCGGCTTTTGCGCAAGCCGCCAAGATCTCGGACTCCAGGACAGCCGCGAATCACGAGCAGAGAGAAAGTGCAAGCCTTCGGATAGAATGTTTCTTACCGCTGTTGATTGCTTCCGTCACACGGGCACGAAGGGCGGTACACTCCGACGCTGGGCGTGAAATGTACCGCCATGTACCCCCCTTAGTGGACTCACCGAGCCCCAAGAAGCCGCGGAACCACAGTCTTCTTGCGAGCCTAAACCGAGAAGCCCTGGCAAGCGCCTCATGGTAGTTTCAAAGGGCAAGGGCATGTAAGTCGCCCTGTCAGGGAGTTGGACCAGCGCACATTAACGGAACCAGCAAGACTTCGCCCGCCTCACTCTCAGTGCAAGGGACGTTGCCTTTTGAGAAGCTACGTGCTTCGTGGGCTAAGAAGATCTTGACAGGAGCATGGAGACGCTGCTTAGCTTTGAGCACATTGACAAAGAGCTTGAGCCCCTGCTTGCGAAGATTGAACCTGGTCCGCAAAAGGCATCCACTTCTTGTCACACCCACACACAGAGCTCTTGAATGCCATGGTTCTTTTCTTCTTTTCTTTCTCCTTTGGAGCACTGGCGAGCTACGAGCCCAGAGCTGCAGGAATGTTTGGCGGCCGAGCTTGATGTGCCCAAGGGGCCCAATCCACTGTCACATGGCACTGATAGTGGCGCCATCCTCGGCGAACCTTGGCATGAGGTGCTGATTGAGGCTTAGTTTTTTGTTTTTTCGGCAGCAGAATTGTGGCCCCAACGCACGCGGCTGTTTTTTTGAGAAAGGCTTCCTACCATGCCTTGCACACGCATACAAGCAAGCACACTTCAAATGGTGTTTTTGAGCGTGGCCAGCTTCAGTCTCTGAGGCATTGCGTAGTGAAGTAGGGTGAGAGCTGTTCCTGCAGATGTGATCCCAGAAGAGACCACGAAGAACCGTGCAAAACATCCATATCTTGTGTGTTTCGCTTCTCTGGCAGGCCGAAGAGGAGGCCGAGGAGTGCAAGCTGGAGGCCGCAGTTGCGGATGAGCTTGGGGTCCTTGCGGACGTCGCCTCGCCTTCCTCGTATTCCTCAAATATGGCAAATGCAGACCTGGACGCGCGGTACGCGATCTTGTTCAACAGGCTTCAGCAGCGGGTGGAGGAGGCAGAGCTGCTGCAGAACAGGCTCAGCCACGCGGTTCGCGCGGTTCAGTACTTGAGCAACTCGAGCTCCCACTGTGCCCAAATGAGCCTCGACCAAGTCGGCCATTTGAAGCGCAAGGTTCTCTTGTAGCACGGGCAGTACTCGTAGTACTCGTACTCGCACACGACGAAACAACTGGGTACGTAAGTGTAGGTAGTTGCTTCAAGCAGTGAGACTCGGGTAGCTGCTCACCGGTTGAGTTTCCGCAAAGCAGGAGACTTGCTGGAGCGCATCATAGTGACTAGTGGAGTTGCGATCTGCTTTGTCAGATGGCGCCAGAACAAGCTTGTGCAGCCTATGAAGAAGATTCCCCCGCAACAAACCCAAAGACCTCAAAAGTAGGATTAACAGGCTCCATCCTTTCAAAAGTGTGTGGCATCTCATGAGCTGAATTATCCATCGACCCCATCACATACCAAATAAAGCCTTTGCTCTGAACGTCGCGATAGAATAAGATTGGTGCGCCCAGGGAATACTCCGAGGTTAAGCAATGCAGCAAATCGAGAGGAGCGGTTCAAGACGTTGATGCAGCTCGGGTTCTCGGGCTTAGCGGATTTTGAGGTCAAAACAGGTTGACGCACCACCTTCCCCTTAGTGCAAGCCATGTCAGCCATGTGGCAGCAGAAGTTCTAGCCTTGAAGTCCAGCAAATGAACGCACCTAAACTGACATGATATCAATGTCACATTGCAGAAAAGCTTAAGGCCTGAGGAGCAGCGTAACACTGGCCTGACTGACGGACAGCGATCTTTGGACAAGACATAATCAATACACGAAGTGACTCGATCCAGTGTACATTTAGTTCAGCCTCCGCTTTAGGGATCCGTTCAGCAGGGGTTCTTCTCCAGCACGTCTTCAGAAAAAATCACCAGTTACACGTGTTCAATTCGCCGCAACGTGCTTGATTGCTCAAGGCCTGATCTGGTAGTTATGGCCTTGGCATCTCCCCACCACCCCCCATCCTAAGGGATTTCGTGGTCTGGCTCCTACTTTTTCAGAGCACCGCACGAATGTTAGCTGAAAGCATGTTTCCAGTAGTTCGCGCTGAGAGGCCACGTGACACTGTGATACACTGTGCAATGTCAGGTGAGTGGCGGCTGACGTCAATGGCCCGGCCCTTGGTCGGGACAGTAGTCGGGAGCTTGGTCAAACTCAGCACGGATTGAATCGACAAGTGAGAAGTGTGCCGAGACCATTCGCAACATGGCGACCGACTGCTGCCTCGTACAGTGCATCGTGGAGACAGTTTTGGCATTGAAGCCTCCACGGCCAGCCTCGAACGTGTGGTTTGCAGAGCAGCCTTTGTGCCTCTAGCACTCGGACCGCTCTGCCGACGGTGGCAATGTTGTTCGACTCACATAGCAGGTTAACCTTTGACAGGTTTGTTTGGCCCCTGCCATCCACCAGCCAGAAACACACTGTGCAACGCAAAAGCAGACGCGAGGCTCCGAGCCCACATGCAAAAGTCCTTCAGTGATCAGGTCGCTCCATTTTGCGAACTCCTTGCCATATGGGCCAACATGGCCATAAGGCCGGAGACAAAGTAATTGCTAGTGACCACGCATGCTGTGTGATGCAGAGTTGCCAGCAGATGCCGAAAACACACACCAATATGCGCACAAGCTGCGTTTCCTCAAACTTTCGTGACAGACACAAGCGTCTGAGAAGGTTACCTGGGCGGAGACTGCTCTGAATCCGCCTGACCGGTGAACATTCTGTCGCCGTCGCCCTAGGCCGCCGCTACTGTCCCAGCAGGCCGACTTTTCCCCATTCAGTTGTTTCTGCTGCGAGAGCTATCGCGAGAGCTATCGTGGGGCTGCGCCAAGTGCCGGCAAAACCGCGGAAGCCCCTCTTTGGTTCCGTCCCTCGCCTGGCTGGGAAGCCACGTTGAGCCGGAAGTTTTGGCATTGCGGCATTACCGTTCACCATGCCTTGGATGGCCGATCCCTTGAGCAACTCTCACTCCTTATTATGCCAGGCGGCCAATCTTGGCGCGAACATGCAACCTGCAGCCCGTTGACTCCATTGACTGTCGCTCGGGGTTTCGGGGGGGTGAGGGTGATTCGCAGCTGTTTCCCCTCGGACTCCCAGCTGTTTTGCAAACATGAGGTGGGCCCACCACGAGGTATTCGGGGCACTCTGGTTGAAGCCAAGATGATTGACTCCTCCAAAGCGGACTCAGTGACTCAGTGGACTCAGCGACAGCGCACCCCAGCCATTGAGCGGGCTTGCTAACAAGTCGTCCTTGCCTGGGAATCCCAAGGCCTGACCGCACCTTGGCGTTCAGCTGAGCCTTGATGAAAAGAGTGAAAAGAGCCTCAGCAACTGAGACTCTCTGCACCACCTAAAGCCCGCGGCGCCGAAAGAAACCAACGTCGTGCAAGCCCATTGACTGTCGCTGGGGGCTTTGGGGGTGAGGGTGATTCCCAGCTGTTTCCCCTCGGACCCCCAGCTGTGTTGGGAACATGAGGTGGGCCCGCCACGAAGTGTTCGTGGCCTGGTTGAAGCCAAGATGATTGTCTCCTCCCAGCGGACTCAGTGACTCAGTGGACTCAGCGTCAGCGCACCCCAGCCATTGAGCGGTCTTGCCAACGAGTCGTCCTTGCCTGGGAATCCTAAGGCCTGACCACACCTTGGCGTTCAGCCAAGCCTTGATGAAAAGAGTGAAAAGAGTCTCAGCAACTGAGACTCTCTGCACCACCTAAAGCCCGAAGCGCCGAAAGAAACCAACGTCGTGCAAGCCCATTGACTGTCGCTTTGAGTTTTTTTGGGTGAACATGATTGACTCCTAAAAGCGGACTCAGTGACTCAGTGGACTCAGCGTCAGCGCACCCCAGCCATTGAGCGGTCTTGCCAACGAGTCGTCCTTGCCTGGGAATCCTAAGGTCTGACCACACCTTGGCGTTCAGCCAAGCCTTGATGAAAAGAGTGAAAAGAGTCTCAGCAACTGAGACTCTCTGCACCACCTAAAGCCCGAAGCGCCGAAAGAAACCAACGTCGTGCAAGCCCATTGACTGTCGCTTTGAGTTTTTTTGGGTGAGGGATTCCCATCTGTTTCCCCTCGGACTCCCAGCTGTGTTGGGAACATGAGGTGGGCCCGCGACGAAGTGTTCGTGGCCTGGTTGAAGCCAAGATGATTGACTCCTAAAAGCGGACTCAGTGACTCAGTGGACTCAGCATCAGCGCACCCCAGCCATTGAGCGGTCTTGCCAACGAGTCGTCCTTGCCTGGGAATCCTAAGGCCTGACCACACCTTGGCGTTCAGCCAAGCCTTGATGAAAAGAGTGAAAAGAGTCTCAGCAACTGAGACTCTCTGCACCACCTACAGCCCGAAGCGCCGAAAGAAACCAACGTCGTGCAAGCCCATTGACTGTCGCTTTGAGTTTTTTTGGGTGAGGGATTCCCATCTGTTTCCCCTCGGACTCCCAGCTGTGTTGGGAACATGAGGTGGGCCCGCGACGAAGTGCTGGTTGAAGCCAACATGATTGACTCCTAAAAGCGGACTCAGTGACTCAGTGGACTCAGCGTCAGCGCACCCCAGCCATTGAGCGGTCTTGCCAACGAGTCGTCCTTGCCTGGGAATCCTAAGGTCTGACCACACCTTGGCGTTCAGCCAAGCCTTGATGAAAAGAGTGAAAAGAGTCTCAGCAACTGAGACTCTCTGCACCACCTAAAGCCCGAAGCGCCGAAAGAAACCAACGTCGTGCAAGCCCATTGACTGTCGCTTTGAGTTTTTTTGGGTGAGGGATTCCCATCTGTTTCCCCTCGGACTCCCAGCTGTGTTGGGAACATGAGGTGGGCCCGCGACGAAGTGCTGGTTGAAGCCAACATGATTGACTCCTAAAAGCGGACTCAGTGACTCAGTGGACTCAGCGTCAGCGCACCCCAGCCATTGAGCGGTCTTGCCAACGAGTCGTCCTTGCCTGGGAATCCTAAGGCCTGACCACACCTTGGCGTTCAGCCAAGCATTGATGAAAAGAGTGAAAAGAGTCTCAGCAACTGAGACTCTCTGCACCACCTAAAGCCCGAAGCGCCGAAAGAAACCAACGTCGTGCAAGCCCATTGACTGTCGCTTTGAGTTTTTTTGGGTGACTCAGCATCAGCGCACCCCAGCCATTGAGCGGTCTTGCCAACGAGTCGTCCTTGCCTGGGAATCCTAAGGCCTGACCACACCTTGGCGTTCAGCTGAGCCTTGATGAAAAGAGTGAAAAGAGTCTCAGCAACTGAGACTCTCTGCACCACCTAAAGCCCGAAGCGCCGAAAGAAACCAACGTCGTGCAAGCCCATTGACTGTCGCTTTGAGTTTTTTGGGTGAGGGATTCCCATCTGTTTCCCCTCGGACTCCCAGCTGTGTTGGGAACATGAGGTGGGCCCGCGACGAAGTGCTGGTTGAAGCCAACATGATTGACTCCTAAAAGCGGACTCAGTGACTCAGTGGACTCAGCGTCAGCGCACCCCAGCCATTGAGCGGTCTTGCCAACGAGTCGTCCTTGCCTGGGAATCCTAAGGCCTGACCACACCTTGGCGTTCAGCCAAGCCTTGATGAAAAGAGTGAAAAGAGTCTCAGCAACTGAGACTCTCTGCACCACCTAAAGCCCGAAGCGCCGAAAGAAACCAACGTCGTGCAAGCCCATTGACTGTCGCTTTGAGTTTTTTTGGGTGAGGGATTCCCATCTGTTTCCCCTCGGACTCCCAGCTGTGTTGGGAACATGAGGTGGGCCCGCGACGAAGTGTTCAAGTGCTGGTTGAAGCCAACATGATTGACTCCTAAAAGCGGACTCAGTGACTCAGTGGACCCAGCGTCAGCGCACCCCAGCCATTGAGCGGTCTTGCCAACGAGTCGTCCTTGCCTGGGAATCCTAAGGCCTGACCACACCTTGGCGTTCAGCCAAGCCTTGATGAAAAGAGTGAAAAGAGTCTCAGCAACTGAGACTCTCTGCACCACCTAAAGCCCGAAGCGCCGAAAGAAACCAACATCGTGCAAGCCCATTGACTGTCGCTTTGAGTTTTTTCGGGTGACTCAGCATCAGCGCACCCCAGCCATTGAGCGGTCTTGCCAACGAGTCGTCCTTGCCTGGGAATCCTAAGGCC